GAACTCAACATAAATATGTAGGGTTTGTGTGTGTGAATGAAACAAAACACAACTCTGTGTGTTTTTGAGGAGGTAACAGCACTAGAACATGTCTTAAAACTCACAAAAATCAAGTTTGCGTAATAAAGAACCTTTGAGGCTGTGTGCTGCGGTGCTAAAAATTGAACTGTGATTTCATTCCTGTGGTGATCTGCTATTTTGGTCACATTGTCATAATATTTTCATTCATTTTTCAATATAAAACCAAAAATAAGAAAACGGAAAAAGCAACTATTTTTTTCATTATTTGTGTCCAAAACCAAAATGAATAAAACAAACAAACAAACAAACAAAAAAAACGGATAATGGCCATTTCCAGTTTCTGTGACTTAAACTGCAATGCTGGACTTTTGCGCCACATACGGACTGAACCAGGACTAAACCAGGACTGAACCAAGACTAAACCAGGACTAAACCAGGACTAAAACAGGACTAAACCAGGACTTCGCCAGGGTTAAACAATGACTAAAACAGGACTAAACCGGGACTAAACCAGGACTAAACCAGGACTTCGCCAGGACTTAACCAGGACTTAACCAGGACTTAACCAGGACCTAAACCAGGTCTCCTGGTCTCAGTCCTGGTCCTGGTTCTAGTCTGGTCCCGGTCTCAGTCCTGATCACCCGACAGTCTACGAGGACCTGTCCAGGATCAGTCCTGTTTTAGTCCTGGGATCAGTCCTGGTTCAGTCCGGCATCACAGTTTAAGTCACCTAAACGGGAAACGGCCGTTATCCGTTTTTTTCATTATTCACTTAAACACCAAATCGAAACCTGAAAAAACAAATTGTTATCGGTTTATTCATTTTAGTTTTGGAGATAAATAAAGAAGAAAACTGTTTGTTTTTTTTTGTTTTGTTTTCTTATTTTTGGTTTTATTTTGAAAGACGAATGAATGAATGAATGAATGAATGATACATGGATTATTTCCCATCCTCTTTTTCTATTGGTTAATGTCTGTATGGCTTTGAGTGAGTGACAGGTGAGTTTAACCAATCACAGTGAAGTGTGAACTTTCATAAGGAAATTACTTTATTTACCTCTTTAAGGCAAAAGAAAAATCACAAATCATCATAAAATTTTAATTATGAATTTTGAAAAAAGTGATATCACCTACCTGTAATCTGTAATTATTTGCATTTGATTAAAGTCAAACTACACACTAAATCAATAATAAAAAACAAAACAAACAAAAAAACAACTGTATATGGTGTTTTAATAGCACTATCTCATGTTCCTAGTTATGTTTTGGCAATTTTCGTGCAGAAACTAGATATATTTGCAGCTTTCTGGTAAAAAAAAAAAGACAAAATTTAAGTTTGTGCTGCCTTGAGTGGCCTCTGTTATTTCAAGTAGTTGGTGACATCACAAAAGACTGCCCTGATTACAGCCAGATTACAAAAACCTGGCTGCAGGGGAGGAGTTTGAAGTATGGCATTCTCTTATTTAGTCCGCCCAGTTTAGCAGCTCGATTTAAAAATGTGATCGTGGGTGGAGTTTAGGTGTTTAGTCCAACTGTAATGAAACTATCAAGTCATTTCAACTCCAGTAAACCTACATTTTTACCGTGAGCAGAAGGAAAGACCGGTCTGCTCTGGGAGGGCTCTGCGTTTCATCATGTAAATATACGAGCACACGGGCTGACACGGGCGCACAGGCTCGGCTTTATCTGAATGGAAAAGCTTTTCAGTTCTGATAAAGCTCCAGCCACAATCTCATAAGTAAACAAAACAGAAATGATTTGGTCTTAGATAAAATGTACAAAGGGAGTTCATTCAATAAAACTATCAGACGTGCAGCCAAACACTTGAATTCTATGAAAAAAAAAACAAACATAAAAATACATACTGTCGGTCATTATTTCATCTTTGTATTGTTTTTTCTTACGACCTTGTATACTTGAGATATATTTGTATTACTATATTTCTATATTTTATTTTCACTTGTACATATACATTTATATATTTAAGCCTTATTTGACACTAGTCTCTTCATTTAAAAAAACAACAACAAACAAACAAAAAAACAGTATCTAGGTAAATTAAAATGACTTAAATTAAGAACATTCAGATTCAGCTTGACAAGTTGACAAGGAACAAGCGTGTTTTTATTAGGGATGGGCATTCGATTAAATTTTCTTAATCGATCGTCGGAAGAATTAACGATCGATTATCGATTAATCATTAACATTTTTAAATTAAAATGATCATCATTATTATTAATATCTGCACTCTAATCTGCATAAATAAATTCAACTTTACGACATATAAACCGTAACGACTCTAGAGCCACATCAGCCCGTTTGACATTATAATGTGTTTAATTCAGTTTTGCGCAACTCTCACAGAAACGAAAACTTAAAACCGCATCGCTAATTTACATAAACTAAGCGAAGATAAAACTACAGCTCTTGTGTCGCTGATGCGGTTCAATTTCTGTCGGATTAAAAGACATGACTCAGGTGAATACAGGTTAGTGTGACCAGATTTGCGTTTGTCAAAACCAGGACACCGTACGGGGGGAGGGAGGTGGGGACTCGTCATCGACATTGCGCGACTCTCACCTGGTAAAACTTTTTCCCACTGGACACAGAAACATATGTGCTGCTTTGTTCACTGTGCACATGGACTCACACTTGTCCTGACCGGAACGGAAAGCCTGGAATTTCTTGTACAAGTCATCGTTGCACATTGTTCGCATTTGCACTTCAGTACGTTGCAGACTGACCGACTGTTTGTGTCTCGCTCCTTCTGAGTGCAGAGAGACACATGTACGGACCTGTTTGGTCACACTACGCACAGCAACCTACATTCAGTTTGTCTATTTAAAATGAACATAATCGATGAAATTCTAAATGATCAATTATCGATTAATCGACTAATCATGCCCATCCCTAGTTTTTATTAATTCAAGCAATATTAGATTTTGTGTCTTATTTTAAGTGTAAAAAGTTGTTGTTTTTGTTATTTTAAGTGCAGCAAGATGTATTTTCATATTTTAAGTACAAAAAGTCTTATTCCACTGGCAGATAATTTTACTTTTCAAGTGAAATTTACTCAAATCATGATAAAACTTTCTTAATTCAAGTCATTTTAACTTGACTAGATTTTTTTTTTTTTTTATTTTTTGCATTGTTGCTACTTATTTTGAATTTATTATGACCATTTATATTTTTGCTCTTTGTTATTGTAATACTGTTCTGGAAAAAAATAAGAGACCACTGCTAAATGATCGGTTTCTCTGATTTTACTACTTATAGGTTTGTGTGAACATTTTTGTTTCATTCTATAAACTACTGACAACATTTCTCCCAAATTCCAAATTAAAATGTTGTTATTTAGAGCATTTATTGGCAGAAAATGACAAATGGTCAAAATAACAAAAAAGATGCAATGTTTTCAGACCTCAAGCAATGCGAAGAAAACAAGGTCATATTCATTTTAAAACAACACAATACTAATGTTTTAACTTAGGAAGAGTTCAGAAATCAGTATTTGGTGGAATAACCCTGATGACCGTCCATCTTCCTCTTGATCACGTTCCAGAGGTTTTCAGTGGTTCATGCCTGGAGATCGGGACATGAGAAGGTCTTGATCTGGTCGTCCTTCATCCGCACCTTGATTGACTGAGATGTGCGGCATTGAGCTTTGTCCTGCTGGAAAAAAACAGTCCTCAGAGTTGGGAAACACTGTCAGAGCAGAAGGAAGCAAGGTCTCTTTTTTCCCAGAGGTGTATATTGTGACGTGTGAGCTGCTGTGTCCAAGTTATTTCCCTTGTGGATCAATAAAGTTTGTCTAACTCTAAGTCTAATTGTGCTCGTGCGATTTTTTTCCTTCTCTAATTTGTGATAAAATAAATATTCCTCAGCCATGTGTGACATGTTTGCGGCTGCTGTCATCACCATTCTCTAGAGGTGTGAAGCTAACTGCAAGCACTGCTCTGTCAAGTCAAGTCCAAGTCGTCTGCTTTGAGCTTCAAGTCATTTCAAGTCTTTAAATCAAAGTACCACATATTGCTTTGATTTTTGCAATTTATATGAATTTTACGATAAATTGTACTTATAAATTCATAGTATATTTATATATGAGTATTTATAGAGTATGTAAAAGTTGTAGAAAAGCAATTTTTTCCTTTTTAAATGCCTTGAATGAATCATTAGTCAGAATACACAACAAATTCAGATTTAAAAGTGCTTCTCATGTCTTCTCAAATCACAGGCCTCAAGTCTGAGTCAAGTCCCAAGTCATTGACCTTCAAGTCCAAGTCGAGTCCCAAGTCTTAGTCCATTTTATCAAGTCAAGTCTCAAGTCCTAAAAATAGTGACTCAAGTCTGATTCGAGTCCAAGTCACGACTTGCAAGTCCTCAACTCTGCCCATTGCTACTATTTTTTTTAAAAATGCATTTTTAAGCAAAGGAACTTGTGATTCAATATATTGTGACAGCCCACGGTATTATTGTGAGACTTTTGATGGTACGATACCACATTATTATTATTATTACATCCCTATTAATAATATAAAATAATAATGAATATAAGAATTCATCATAAAAATCAATCAACACTCGCATAAAATCTTCTGAAGAAAAAATGTTTTTATTTTGATTTATTCACTTTTCATACTGGAACATAAAAGTGCGATGTGAAGTGCATTGCGGGGAAGACTGGGCAGAGTACAGACTGGTCTCCTCAGATGCACACAAGTCTGCACAAGTACATGGACTGAGGAACAGCTGATCTGAATGTATTGCAGTTTTTGGAGGTGGGGGAGGGGAGACCATACACAAGACTATACAGCTTTTGTCATTTCATTAGTTTGGACTTTGTCGAGCTTTGGACTTTTGCACTAAATTGTAGTTTTGTTTTGTTTTTTTTCTTTTTTTTTTGAGTTTCCCTGTGAGGACATTTAAAGCATAACATTAACACACAGATCATTGTTACATTTAGTTGTTCAGATGTACAAATCTGACATGCTGCACCTCTTGATGGTGAAAGGAAATGTTTGTTATGTCTGAGGTTTGTGTGGGAGATGACTTCCTTGAACTAAAGTGAAAGTCGAGCAGCCGGCGATGATTACAAAAGAAACATACGCTGATTCGGTAAGATTAATTTTCATATAAATAGGCTAAAATCTTGCTAGCACCACCCTTGTTTACATTTGTCAGTATTTCTTTGGTTACTAAAATGCCAGAAAAAAATTAAGTGATGTTTAGCATTAGTAAAACCTCTACTGGTTTAACATTAGTCTAACTGAAATATGACAACCCAATGTGAATACCTGGTGGCAACTGTGACTTGTACTGATTGCAGTGATAAATCCTGGCCAAATTAATAAACCAGTGAAGAAAATGGAAAACTGGGAATCAGGATCAGAACATACTGGATTTGGATGTGGACTCACTCCGAGAAATGAAGAGAGCCACAGGTAACAGTACATTACAATTCTGTTGAAGAGTTCTCAAGCAATGCTCATCAAGGTCCAGATACTGAATAGTAACAAAAACAAAAACTAAAAAAAACAAAAGGTCCCACCCATTTTTTAAATTTTACTTTATATATGTCAACATGTTTCAACTCACGTACCAGTTTTCATCAGGTAAAAAGTAGAAAACATGACAGTGCATGACAGTATTTAAACACATGGCCATGTGACCAAACAACATGTGATACTATAAGATATAGAACAAAAACAAAAAATGTTAGCTGAATATCAATCAGGAATAAAATATTAAGATTAAAATGACAAATTACACTATGTGCAGAGATTTGCAAGCATCTTAGACATACAATTCTGGATGGGGCGGCAGGGGCTCCCCAATTATTTGAAAAGTGTACAAAGTGATAACTGACAAAATATGAGACAATATAGACCCTGTGCACTTGTTACTATTTAAACCGCAGTGCAATGCCACTTCAAGTTGTAAAACTGCTCTTGGGTAACTTACTTCCTGTTAGCATAGCACTGCGGTTTAAATGCAGGAGACAACTTCTGTCTCAGTCGTTTTTCAGCTTCGCCTGTGTAATCTTGTAGTAGTCTTCATAGAAGCAACAACGACATCGTAATAGAGAAAGGAACAGCACCGTCCCCAAATATGAAAGTGTCATCCCAAAATATCAGCGAAATCACAAAGTAAGCCTGACATTCATGAACGGCACTTGTTCGTCAATGGAGTGGGTTGCTTCTCATACTAAATGTATGCAATGTCTCAAACAAAAGTATGTATTTACTATAAATACAAAAAATGAATTGTACTGTCCATTTAGTGTGATCTTACATGCACTGCTGAGCAATAGTGAGTAAGAAGAATGCAATTTATAAAACTACCTTTCTTGGTACATTACAATAATAATATATTCTAGGTTCCATCTGTTAGTCACATGGACACATACATGTCCTTGTCTTAATCACTACTAAACACGATTCCAGGATAAAAAGGGGAGTAAGATCATTGCTTATTACTTATAATATCAATGCTGTTATGTTGGTTGAATATCTTGAAACAATTATGACTTTACAGGAACATGGTACAAAACTCACTGAAGATGCTTCTCAGATCTGTCTGTCAAGAAGAAGATGGATCTATAGCAATGCAATGTGTTCATTCCATCAGTACTGAAATAAAATGATCAAATTTGGTTTTGTGATCATGCTTAATAACACACTCTTGTACTTGTAATGCTGCACTGACATTGCTTTGCATAAGTGAAGTGAACACATATACTAGCCAGCCAGGGTTAAGAATAATTCCCATTTGCACACTGAGGTGGACTGGGACCAAAAAGCGGGCCTGGACTTTTCCCCCACAAACCGGCCCATGATTTAAAAAAATTGTAGGACCAGGGGGAGGTCGTATCTTACCATCTCCAAAAAGATGGTAAGATAGGTTGACACGCAACTAAAACAAAACAAACACGTGATTTGACTGACAGCTTAACTTAAAAAGATTTACCCTCCCACCTGCAATTTAAAAGAGCCACGCAAAATAGCAATCAGATGCTAATAACTCAAGTTCTGGTTAAGAATCTGGAAGTTAGCATTTTCTTGTGCACAGGGTCATGCTTTTTATGGTTTGAACACTAACAAAATCAAAATACCTCACCTTGACCTGAGCTGTGTTTATTTGTAGTGACCCATCCAAAGACACAGGTAACAAACATCTGCATAGGGCCAATCTCTTCCTATTCGCATGAGGTTTTTTCATTATTTACTGTTTGTGTTTACCACTTACAGAACAACAGAAGTTCCTGAACCTGAACCAAGCAGTGTGTCTCTGTGCAGTGAACAATCTAGAGATGCGTTTTTAGTCTTTAAACAAAACCCACAGGACCACAGGTAGTCCCCACGTCCATACAAATGCTTTCTTTAGTAATATTTGATTTGGGGTTTTGTTTTTTGTTTTGTTTTTTTCATGTGTGTGTGGAAAAACTATTTGGGTGTGTGTCAGTAAGTTTTTCACTTTAAAGGGGATTCACATGAACAGAGGTAACCCTAACTCCAACCTAATAATTTCATATTGACTATGGCACTATGTACTTTTGTGGTGGGGGATCTGCCACCCACTAGTTTCCATAGAGATGTTTGTGTAATCCCTCAGTCGTCCAGGTAGCATCCTCAGAAATTTTATTCTGTCAACAGGACAAAGTTTTTGATCAAAGACATTTCGCAGCTCATTCATGCTGCTTCCTCAGTTCTGACTGAATGGAGGAGCTAACTGCCCTAAAAATACACACCTTGTTTAGTTTCTATTTGTTAGCTAGGTATATTGAACTGAGACTGAGACTCACAGTAAAATAATAAGCCTTGTTACACTGACAATAACTGTAACAACATTACTGCAGTTAGATTACTCGTTGCTGATAAAAAATAAAAATAAATAAATAAAAAATCTCTATTAGTAACACAGTTATACTTAAATAATGTTATTTCCAACACTGTTCATACTCATATGTTTTTCCTTGTTTAATTTTGTGTTTCCAATTTACAGAAAAATGGAAGTTCCTGAACCTGAACCAAGCAGTGTGTCTCTGTGCAGTAACCGCTCTAAAACTAACGGATTTAAACTTTAAACAAGAGTCACATGATTACAGGTAATCCCCACAACACTACAAATGCTTTCTTTAGTAATATTTGATTTGGGTTTTTTTGTTTGTTCTTAACTTAGAAACACTTTACGAAGAAATACTACGGATGGTGGACAGTTGGAGAGTATATTAAAGGTCTGTGACCTATATATATATATATATATATATATATATATATATTTATTTTTTTTTAATATACATATATAAAATGTATATTGTATATTCCAGCGACTGCAGGACGACGTTCTGACTTTTGTAAAAGAGCTGCTGGAAAACTTCCGTAAAGTTTTGGTCTTGGATTACCTGGAATGCTTTGAGTGTGAGGAGGAAGAGGAGCAGAGCAGCAGCAGAGAGGCAGTCCTGAACATCACCGTGGACTTCCTGAAGAGGATGAAGCAGGAGCAACTGGCTAAGACTCTGCAGACCAGTAAGAATTCTGTTTCAAGTACAGAGGAATAGAAGTTGAGTGTGATTGGGGCCTTTCACTCAATTCATAGATACTATATGTAGAAGAGGGTTGTCCAACAAGTTTACAAAAGTTTCTGCCTCTCCTTGAGGGGCAGTTTGTAAGTTAATGGAAATTGTGTTCAAGCATTAATGGGACAGAATTTTAGATATAGGACCTAATTTTCTAGTGAGCCAGAGTGTTGGAGACGTGTGGAGACACTTTTTAAAATATTCCCTCCAGTCCTTGTATTTGCAGAGGTCGCTGGTGCTAGACTAGTGCATGTTAATGGCCATAGTTATCCTGCCACTAAAAACAGTCTTACCCACTCCACAAAACACCCGAGGCAAATCTATTATTACATCAGACTGTCCATGTGAATGTCTGTGTTGATAGAATAATTTTAGAAGTAAAACCAACCATTTATGTCTTGATGATTATGTCACTGCAGCAGCAGTGAGTTGTACTTCCTGATAGAAAGCTTGGCAGCGGCGGGCTGATATCACCTAGCACCTATCTTACTGGCAAAGTAAAATTCCGCCGCTACTGAAAAAATAGTCCCTCAACATGCGACAACTCATGCGATGCAAGGTTAGTTTTATTTCAAACATTGTTCTATCAACACAGACATTTACATGGACAGTCTGGTGTAATAATAGATTTGTTTTGGGTGTTTTGTGGAGTGGGTAAGACTGTTTTTAGTGGCAGGATAACTATGGCCATTGACATGCACTAGTCTAGCACCAGTGACCTCTGCAAATACAAGGACTGGATGGATTATTTCAAGAACTGTCTCCACACGTCTCCAACACTCTGGCTCACTAGGAAATGAGGTCCTATGACCAAAATTCTGAAATGTCCCTTTAAACAGTCTCTGTATTTAATATTAACTGCATTTCTTTTTTGTGTAGGATACCATGTTCGCTTATGTAGGAATAGACTGAAGAAGCGTCTAGAGCAGCGATTCAGCAGAGTGTGTGAGGGAGTGGCTAAACCTGGAGGCTCCACCCTCCTGAAGCAGATCTACACAGAGCTCTACATCACAGAGGGAGAGGCAGCAGAGTTCAACCAGGAACATGAGATCAGACACATCGAGACTCCGTCCAGAAAACCAGCTACACCAGAAACCACCATCCAATGTGAAGACATCTTTAAAGCCCTCATCCACAAACAGGGGCCTGGCAGGATAGTGATGTCAAAGGGCGTGGCTGGCATTGGAAAAACTGTTTTGACTCAAAAGTTCAGTCTGGACTGGGCTGAAGGCAGAACCAACCAGGACTTTCATCTGCTGTTCCCGTTCACTTTCAGAGAGCTCAATATGCTCAGAAACACACAGTTCAGCTTGGTGGGACTCCTGCACCACTTCTTCAGTGAATCCAAAAAACTCTGCAGCTTTGAACAGCTCCAGCTGCTCTTCATCTTCGATGGTCTGGACGAGTGCAGACTTCCTCTGAACTTCACTAAAACCAAGGTCCTGACTGACCCCAAAGAGTCTGCCTCAGTGGACATACTGTTGGTAAACCTCATCAGGGGGAACCTGCTTCCCTCCGCTCGCCTCTGGATAACAACACGTCCTGCAGCAGCCAATCAGATCCCAGCTGAGTGTGTCTCCATTATGACTGAGGTGCGAGGATTCACAGATTCACAGAAAGAGCAGTATTTCAGAAAAAAGTTTAAAGATGAGCAGCAGGCCACAAATGTCATCTCCCACATCCAAAGGTCTCGCAGCCTCCACGCAATGTGTCGTATCCCAGTCTTCTGCTGGATCCTCTCCACAGTCCTGGATCATGTGGTGAAAACCAGGACAACAGACGAGCTGCCGCAGACCCTCACTGAAATGTACATCCATTTCCTGGTGGTCCAGGCCAAAGTGAAGGGCCTAAAGTATGAAGGCCGCTCCGAGATAGATCCTCCCTGGACTCCAGAGACCGAGGGCATGATATGGTCTCTGGGTAAACTCGCTTTTGAACAGCTGCAGAAAGGAAACCTGATCTTTTATGAGTCAGACCTGGAGGAGTGTGGACTGAACGCTGCAGAGGCCTCAGTGTACTCAGGAGTGTTCACACAGGTCTTTAGAGAGGAGCCAGGCCTGTACCAAGACAAGGTCTACTGCTTTGTCCATCTGAGTGTGCAGGAGTTTATGGCTGCTCTTCACGTCCATCAGACCTTCATCAGCTCTAAAGTCAACCTGTTGTCCACTCAACACTACATTAAAAGTTCTGACCCAGAGGCAGACTTTTACCTGCTCTGCAGTGGACCAGGCCTTACAGAGTCCAAATGGACACCTGGACCTGTTACTACGCTTCCTCTTGGGTCTGTCTCTACCAGCCAATCAGAACCTTCTGCTTGGTCTGCTGACTCAGAGAAAAAGTAGATCTCAGACTAATCAGAATGTAGCAAAGTACATCAAAATGAAACTTGATGAGTCTCTGTCTGCAGAGAGAAGAATGAACCTGTTTTCTTGTCTAATCGAGCTTAATGACACGAGTTTGGTCAAAAACATACAGTGGTACATGAGAAAAGAACACTGTAGACACTGCTCTTGTGCAGAGTGGTCTGGACTAGCCTTCACTTTACTGTCCTCAAACTCAGACCTGGAGGAGTTTGACCTGAGGAAATACTATCCCTCAGAAACAGCTCTCATGGGCCTGCTACCGGTCGTCAATGCTTCCACCAAAGTCCTGTGAGTTCTAACTCAACTCTTACAGTTCCCTTGTGATTTTGGTCTCTAATGTTCCTCTCCCCCTCTCTCTCTCTCATCAGTCTATGTGAAGGTAACCTCTCCCCTCACAGCTGTGGTCATCTGGCCACAGTCCTCAGCTCCTCCAGTTTGACATACCTGGATCTCAGTAACAATGATCTCTATGACTCAGGAAGTAGAGCAGTTGTGTTCTGGGCTGAAGAGCGCCCCCTGCAGACTGCAGACTCTCAGGTGAGACGGCTAGTGGTGGACTCTACATTGTGTCCATGTTAGTGGTAATGTTATGTGTCTTTAGATTGTCAGGATGTCTGGTGTCAGAGAGGGGCGGGGCTGCTCTGGTCTCAGCTCTGAGCTCCGCCCACTCTCAGCTGAAAGAATTAGACCTGAGCTACAACCATCCAGGACACTCGGCAGAGCTCCTGACCGCTCTACAAGATGACCCCCTGTGCCCACTGGAGTCTCTCAGGTGAGGTGAACAAGTAGACCTATGATAATTCTTACTATCCTAACAAATATCAGTCACGTAGCCTTAAAACAGATTCTTCACACAACTGAGCTGCTACATGCCAATAAAAATAATACTAAAAATCATGTAAAGTCCATGTTTGTCAATGAAACTCTGAGCTGTAACTGTAATGTGCTGTAATGTGCAATGGTAGAAGTTTAACAGACTAACCTGTCTTTGTGGCCTCTTTGGTCTTTTCACAGCAGTTTTTTTTATTTGTCTGAAACAAATTTTTATTTCACCTTCTTAGAAAGCCCGGGCCTTCAGTTTCTCTGTCCTTTAAATACCACGTATGGGCCTATAGTTTACGTGCATCTTTCCCAGAGTGGTAGAAGTGATCCCTACTGAATGCGTAATTTTAAAGTACCTCAAAGGTCAATACTCCAGCAGCAACAGGGAGGAAATGAGAACTGGAATTAAGTCAAAAATAATAATAATAATATTGTTTCACCTTGTAAAGGCTTGAATTTGTAAGTCAAATGGTTTTGCTCCTGTATTCAGGAGGTGAAAATGTATTATTATTATTATTTTACTTAATTTAAATCCTCATTTCATCTTTGTAGCTGTTGGAGTTTTTACGTTTGAGGCCCCTAAAATGACGCATTCTATAGGAATTGGACTTGGTACCCTCTGAGAAAGATACGTGTAAACTATAGGCCCAAATGTGATATTTAATGGACACACACAGAAAAACTGTAGGCCCAGGCTTGTTGGATGCTGGTCACTCTGTACTTCCATCATGGTAAACAGCCGCCAAGTGCCCTAGACCCCACCACTGGATTTGCCTGAAACGCAGAAAATGCTTCGCACTGCACCTGTTTAGCTGCGCAATTTATTTAGAAAAAAATATGTTCAAAATGAACAAAAACTGCAAAAGACGTCAAATAAACAATGTCAACAGAAAATCTATTTCCATCACATAACAAACTCACCTAACAATAGACAAATTGGGGAACATTTAAACTGGGCCAGCTGTAACAAAAAAAGGTGACAGACAAGCATGTAATACTTGACAATAAATACGTAGACTAATTGGAATTGGATTTAATAAGCTAATTATATTTAGAATTAAATAATCATAATGTAGCTAATTAGCTAAATTATATCAGTAAATGCTCTAATCTTCCTGCTATGGTTCAGGCCAGAGGGCGGGAAGAGAGTGGAGCCTGCTGGTTCACGTCCAGGATAGTTCAGTTCAGTATGGGGCTGGGTCAGCCCTCACAGAGCCATTTGGAAGTTTTGAGTCATTCACTGTTCAAATTGTTAAAAAAAAAAAATGTAAGGACATGTATAATGGCAGGATCTTGTAGAATAAACTGTAGTAGTCCAAGTCCAAAACAGCATTTCCTATCTTGCTCTTTCGTAGCTCACGATAATCACTATATTGACTTAACCTTTAATATACATATGAAGACTGGAACAATATTTTTAGGGGTCAATAAGACATAATAACTTATATGACTCATTACAGACTAATAAGTGTTTATTCTGCTAATTACTTATTGCAGCTCATGATTTCTTAACAATATTGTAGATTTAGAATAATTTAGCAGTTTCAATCTGCTCTTGGATTATTGTGTGAGTGGCATAAATTAGTTTCAGTATTTTGGCTTATCCTTTATATTTATTTCAGCAATATATTGCATTTCAAAATGTGTTTCTGCGACAGGACTACACATGCACATCATCTGTATAACCCTATGTAAAGGCACATTCACACAGTAAAAGACTGTGGCGAGCACTACGATGTAGATGAGGCATATAGAGCATTTTGAGTTTTGGAAATGTGTGATTATGGATGCCTCTAAATGAAGAGCAAATGAAGTGGGTCTAAATGTACCATAATTAATAAGAGTGGGTGAACACTGAAAATGACAAATCTTGTGTCTATGCCTCAGATTAAAACCTGATGGAGAACAATGGATTGTCCCAGGTCTTAGAAAGTGTAAGTTTTTTTTTTTTTTTTTTTTAGAATAATCTGTACTGAAAAATATACAAAATTAGATCAGTTTCTTCTGTCTTTCAGACTTCGGTGACTTCTGTCTTGAACTGGACTCCAGCACGGTCAACCCAAAACTTAAACTGATAGACCTAAAACACGTGAAACATGTGGAGAGAGCGGAACCGTATTCTGAGCATCGGGACAGATTTGACTCTTGTCCTCAAGTCTTGTGCTCCTCTGGTCTGACTGGCAGCTGTTACTGGGAAGTGGAGTGGAATGGTAGATTGGTTTACATAGCTGTAAGTTACAAAACCATCAGCAGAAAAGAAGACCAAGGGGACTGCTTATTTGGAGAAAATGAGTGGTCCTGGAACATGAGGATCATAGATGGACGCTACTCTTTCCGTCACAATGGGCTCAAAAGTGGAGCAGAGTTTCTTTGCTGTCACTCCTCCCCCAAGTCATCTAATCAAAAGGCTGAGTACTCAGGTCGGGTGGGCGTGTTCCTGGACTATAAGGGTGGATTTCTCTCCTTTTATGAGGTCCTCTCTAATGGAGACATGTTTCACCTCCACACCTTCAACTCCACCTTCACAGAGCCACTGTTTCCTGGGTTTGGGCTGTGGTCTGGATCCTCAGTGTCCCTGGTGAATAAACCAAACATCTGTGAGACTTAGAGCTGGATATTCCTAAACGCAGACAACGTAGGTTGTGTAGGGCCCCACGGCTGCAAAGGGCCCCACCGCCCAAGTCCCTATATGTTTTATATGTTATCTTGTCTGACTGTCAATCTACAAGAAGTTATAACAAAATGGGGCTCTAAATTTCACTTTGCGATTGGTTAAATGGGTTTATACAATACGGCCTCCCCCTCACTCACAAACACGTGTGTCTGTTGTCTTGACTTTGGCTCACTTCAAGAGGTCAGCCCCTTTGGATGGCAGCAGGTTACTTACTGTTGTGAATAAGAGAAGCTTTGCCTTTGCTGGGCATGAATGACCAATGGATGAGCCACAAATGTGCTCTTGTTTGCACTAATGTAAGATATGTGTGAATTTGTGTGCATATTATACGTATATTCATATAATAGCCAGATAATTAACCACACATTTGTTTTAAGTTTTCCTGCATTTAATGAACACAAATAACATGATCATGAAGTGAAACTAAGCTAAAGGTTTCATGGCAGTGTGTAGTACTAAAGCCTAATCACATTGTTATGCAAGAGATGGCAAGCCTATATTATTTATAATGAATATAGCCCTAAATCAAACTTTTATGTTGAAGTATTTATTGTAGATCATCCTAAAGTGTGTTTAGGGGCCTAATATTGCACTTCTACAAAATATTTAATAATATGACAGAATCAATGGATTATTTCTGTGATTTCCATTTACATTTTGGGATTGGGAAATGGGAAACAAATTGTTTTCCATTTTTAAACTAAAATTAAATGGCCATAAGTTACACAGACCATTATGTATATTATAGCCTCATTTCCCCTGGCATAGTTCACATAGGCCACCTTGGTGAGCGCGTCCATTACAATGGGCCCGGGCTGCTTTGGGCATTACACAGGTCTAGCAAGGCACACCCAATGGCGTGACAGGCCTGAACCACGAGCGGTAGAGAAACCAATTTTATTTCGTTTTATTTATGTTTTGTTATATATTATTATTTTTATTAAAACAAAAAGGCTTTCACTATTTATTTCCATAACATAAACAATATAGACTTTTAATCTTTGCCATTTAACACAAAAACTATCCTCCAAAGTCTAAACTCTGATCCAAACTACAGAGGATTGGCTGCAGACTCTCACGGTGTTCAATTTCCTCGAGTTATTTTTCTTATCCTAAACCTGGTTTTATTTGTAATTTCTGTAATCACGTATGTGTTTTTGAGTTTTACTTCCTGTTGTATTGATTATTTGTTATTTGTTGTTTGTCTGTGTGCATACTGTCTACTCCTCTGCTCTTGGTTGGTGCATTGCCAGTGTCAGGACTTGGAAGTTTCTATTTTGGATTTTTGTGTTTGGTTTTATGTCTGGTCTTTGTTTAAAGTTATCATTAAAGAATGTTTTAAGTGCAGTCCTGCATTTTGGGTCTTCCTTCTGTTTAATCACATACCTATTTGTTTAAAAAGCCAGCCACTGACGATTAGAAAATGACTGAATCTTGTCATCAGTTAAAATGTAAATAATTCCTGCCAACCCCACTAGCCCAAACTCTTACACTGCTGAGGAATTTTATTACACATTATTTAGAATGTAACAAAGTGTGATATATGTGAATATTGCAGTGAAGTATCAGTACTATCACAATACAAACATTTCAAACTAGATTTTGATACTAAGGAATAGTCTTGATACTTGATTCCAATGCCACAATGATAATTTAAAAAAATCACTCTCTTTAGAAAATAGAATGTAATTTTCAACATTAAATTTAATCCTTACTTTTATTTTACCATGTAGCCTTATATCTGTGTAGTCCCTCAGTTGCCCAGGTAGGTTCCAAAGTGGTCCATGGGTGTACTAGTACTAGTCTGTGTAGTCTTATTCTGATACAGCTCAAGATAATTCTAATTCAATTCAATTCAATTCAAGTTTATTTATATAGCACATTTAAAACAACTTCAGCAACTTCAAGTCAACATAAACAAAAGAAACAGTTACATACACATACAGATAACATGTGAAAACTACAGTAAAAACACCAAGATAACCCGACAAGCTCGTACTGAATATCAAGGAGAAGAGGTGAGTTTTCAGTCTCGTCTTAAACTGCGGATCCAGACTGAGAGGATCTGACAGGAAGAGGAAGGTTGTTCCACAGTCCAGACGCTGCCACAGCAAAGGCTCCATCACCTCTCGTCTCGAGCCTAGTTTTGGGCACGACCAACAGGAGCTGGTCGGCTGATCTCAGGGCTCTGGGCGGAGTACAGGGCTGCAGTAACTCCCTCAAATAGACTGAACCCATAGAGTGCAAACATTTGAAAACAATTAATAACATTTTAAATTGCACCCGATATGGGACATGGAGCCAGTGCAGGACACACAGCATATGTATTAGTATGGACATGTTGCAAAGCTATTCAGGAAAGGCTCATTTTTAGTGTTGATTCTTGTTCAAATGAGTATCTGATTTTCGATTAATTTGACAACCCTACTACCTATACTACTTTTACAATTGCTGCAACTACTATTTTTCTATTTTTGTCACTCCTTGCCTGTCAAAACATCTCCCAATATACAGTGACTTATTTAAACATGGATCGAACTGTATGGAAATGTAATCACAGAAACAAATACACAATCTGGACCCACTCATAAATCTTTAAACTTTTTCTCCCAAAAATAATTTAAGTGGGATTTTTCATCGATCAAGAATACTGTAACCTTCAGGGGGCAGGACTTTCCTTAACAAAGTGCAGAATAATTTCCAATACATATTAATGCGGCGCGGTGAAATCGATGTCCTTGGAGGTTCCTGGGAGCGAGGTGAGAGCAGGACCAGTGCAGGTGCAGCAGGTCTGGGGTCAGACCATCGATTGACAATGAGAAGAATCTCCTTTACAGCCTATAGGCCAAGTCACTCACCTCAACAAAGAAAAACTCCTGTGCTACATGTGGGCTTCTTAAATACACTTACCGTATTTTTCGGACTATAAGTCACTCCGAAGTATAAGTCGCACCAGCCAAAAAATGCATCACGAAGAAAAAAAAAACATATATAAATTGCACTTTTTGGGAGAAACTTACTTTATAAAATCAGAGATCAGGAACTGAAATTTCATCTAGAAAGGCAACTTCAGGTAATATAACAATAGAAAAGAGAACAACAGGCTGTTGACGTAACATATTAAGAGTTATTCAGATAACTATAGCACAAACAACTAAACAAACTCTCCATCTCACTCCAAATCTCTAAATCCATTGAATTCTTTATCCTCGGTGTCACTTCTGAGCAACTCTGCGACCATGAGGTAAACAGAGCGACACTTCCTCTTCTGTGTAGCTGTCATCAGACTCAGCATCAGTTCCAGTTAGAATTATTCCGTCCTTTCTGAATCCCGACAGGATGGTTTTGGTTGTCACTGAAGTTCAGGCTTTGTCGATCCAGTGACTTCCAGGAAAGTTTTATGGTGCACCCTCCCGGTTACCATAAAGCTGTGTTCTCCATCCCCGCTTTCCGTCAGTCCTTCACAAGTTTCTCGCTCACTCCAAACTTTCTTTCTGCTGCTCGATTACTGTTTTCAGCTGCATATTTCACTTCTTGCAGCAGGACGGAGGCTTTTTCTGCAGGAGACATGTGCAGTAGAGTGAAGTGACAGTGGTACAGGAGTAACAGGAGCAGCAGATACTGACACACAAGACGAGAGCCTCTTGCGGCTGTCACTGTGAAAATTTTAATATATAAGTTGCACCGAAGTATACATCACAGGAAACAACCAAACCATGAAAAAAGTGCAACTTAGAGTCCGAAAAAGACGGTATTTACAGTTACTGAGTTACAGTTACATAAGTGCTCTAACCACTGTCATCACTGTTCATTTTAAACAGTTTGCAGTGGTCCAGAGTTATTCCTGACTCTTCCTAACACATATCCTGATTATTCACAGTGATGTCTTGCAGTCACGGCAATGCTGACAACACTAAAATAGTTACTTATGCTGTGCCATTTAACAGAGAAAGAATAAGTCCAAGAATAGAAGTATCAGTCCAAGAATAAAGAAGAGTCTGATTTATTCTGCTGGGGAAGCGGCTCCACTCAAACAGTGAGAGATACAGGACTACATTCATACTATAATACTCCCTACAACAACTCACCCTTATGTAACAGTTAATACTCCCGACAACTGCACAACTCACCCTTATGTAACAGATAATACTCCCTACAACTGCACAACAACTCACCCTTATGTAACAGATAATACTCCCTACAACTGTACAACAACTCACCCTTATGTAACAGATAATACTCCCTACAACTGTACAACAACTCACCCGTATATAACAGATAATACTCCCTACAACTGTACAACAACTCACCCTTATGTAACAGATAATACTCCCTACAACTGCACAACAACTCACCCTTATGTAACAGATAATACTCCCTACAACTGTACAACAACTCACCCTTATGTAACAGATAATACTCCCTACA